ATCTCCTTTTTGTTAAATAAATCTGAGGTAATAAATGTCAGTGTAAGAAGACATTGAGTTTTCTTTTATTGAGCCATCTTGGTTATTTTAATCTGGGATCTGTGAATTCTCATTTTCTCTAGCCAAGTTGCAACTTAAAAACTTAATTTTATTCCTCATCATGTTGGACTAACTCTGCTATGTCTGGGATTTTTTAGTACATCTGACAATCGGAAATTTAGACAATACTATAGTTAAAATGAGATGTACCAAGTAAAGTATTTATTTTTCTTCTGATACGTATTTTGGAATTCTTCTAAAATTCCTTGTTAAATTTAGTTGAATCCCTGGTTAAGATTATTGGAGCCACTCTACTGAGTACACCTATAAAACTTTGCTAATAAATGCATATAGAACCTGGGAAAGTTGATGTATATCTTATGCTGTAGAGACATCAGATGGAACATCTTTTTTATCCTTTTTCATTATAAAATTTAAAAACAAATTTTAGGTTTTCAATAGGATCAAATTATGTACTTTTCAGAAATGTATACATGCAGACAACATAATTTATGTATTTTACATTTACCTTATTCAGATTTTTAAAAAGATTTACTGAGATTGCTGCTGTGATATAGCAGGTCAAGCCCAGCTCTGGCCGTTGTGGTCAGTTGGGAGTGAACCAGTGGGTGGAAGGTGTCTCTGTCTCTGCTTCTCCCTATCTATAACTCTTCCTCTCAGATAAATAAATAAAGAAATCCTGTAAATATTTAAAAACAAAAAACAAAGAAGACTGACCTCCTTCTAGTTGCAGAATCAAGTCACTGGAAGTTAATTACCAGCTCAGAGATGATACAGAAATTTGAGCAGCACAATTCATACATTACATATAGAAAAAATTGGGGGCCAGCACCATGGCTCACTTGGTTAATCCTCCACTTGCGGTGCCAGCATCCCATATGTTTGCCGGGTTCTAGTTCCAGTTGCTCCTCTTCCAGTGCAGCTCTCCACTGTGGCCTGGAAGGCAGTGGAGGTCGGCCCAAGTGCTTGGGCCCCTGCACCCACATGGGAGACCAGAAGGAAGCACCTGGCTCTTGGCTTTGGATCGGCATAGCTCTGGCCATAGCAGCCATTTAGGGGGTGAACCAATGGAAGGAAGACCTTTCTCTCTGTCTCTCACTGTCTAACTGTATCTCAAAAAAAAATGTTTAAAAAAATTGACCAACAGCTGTGGGCCAAGAGTCAGTGCCTGATGACACTACCACTCAAATCCTCAAGAACTTGATCATAATTTCATGTCCCTTCTAATTTATACAGGAAAAGGAGTAAAAGCAGGAGGTCCACACACCTGTATATCTGTCTCTCTTCCTAATTCATGGGGGAAACCACAAATTATGTGCAGATCTCAAAAAATAGTGTTTTGTTAAATACTAACTAAATGGAGAGTTGAGGGTTGTGGGTGGGAGGGAAGTTATTGGGGGGGGGAGCCATTGTAATCCATAAGCTGTACTTTGGAAATTTATATTCATTAAATAAAGTTAAAAAAAATAATAGATTAATTTCAGGAATTTTTGGTTAAAGAGTTACCAAGAAGTGCAATTCCAAGTATTCATGAAGGTTTTAGAAGGCACTCACCCTGATTTCCAGCAATATTAATCCACTAAATGTATTGAAATAAGTTTCCTCACTGTGAAATATGATGTATTTATGGGCAAAAAATTGTCGTAGTAGGTAAGATCAAGCATCATTTAATGTATTAAAAATGGGTTGTTCAGGAACATTAGTATCTTTGAATATTTTAAGTTAAAAAGAGTCCTAGAAGTCTTTTCCTGAGTATCTGTAAGAATATATGATAATTGGGGGGGGGGGGAGTAGTGCTTTGGTGCAGCAAGTTAAAGTCCTAGCCTGCAGCACTGACATCCCATATGTGACCGATTTGAGTCATAGCTGCTCCACTTTTGATCCAGCTCTCTGCTATGGCCTGGGAAATTAGTAGAAGTTGACTCAAGTCCTTGGGCCCCTGCAGCTGCATGGGAGACCCAGAATAAGCTCCTGGCTCCTGGCTTTTGCTTAACTCAGCTCTGTTTGTTGCAGCCATTTGGGGAATAAACTAGCAGATGGAAAATGTCTCTCTTGCTCTACCTCTCTCTGTAACTCTGTCTTTCAAATAGATAAAATTATAAAAAAAAAAAAACAAGAAAAATGTGAGGTTTTTAGAACCATATTTGAATTATGATAAATTTATATACAATTCCCAAGAATTCTTTCCACATTTGAATTTCTCCACTTATACTATGTTTCTTTTGGTTGTAAATATGTCAACATTAATGAGGAATTGATTATTATGTGGGTATCTCTTGTGGTTAGACAAGTTCTGATGTATCCCCTCCATGTCCAAGGAGGCTAATTCTCCAGCCGATATATGGATCATCTTCATTGCTTCCTAATGGAGGCATGCATTGGTATCTGGGAATCTAGCCTCATCTGCCCATGATGGCAGCAGGTCAGGACCATGGGAAATCTCTGGCCTCCTTCTCAGCATGTGCCATTCCAACCACTCCCACCATCTTCACAGAATTCCTGACTCTGGGGCTTTCCTCATATTGCTCAAGAACTGTGTGGTTGGTTTCTGTGTCTGTGGACGTTAGTGTGAGGTTGAAAGGAACCTTGGAGAGCAGGACAGGTGTCTGTCTCTTGGTGGCATAGGTGACAGTCATAGATCTGAGGTGTTAAGTTATGTCATTCAGGTGCACCCTGTAGATATTGGCTGGCCTAGGAAGGGACACCAATGCCACATCCTCAGTTCTGGAGCTGGAGAAAGGGTGAATAAGGTTGAGATTTTAGATATTTTTGTCAAAAATTGGTGCACTGAAAGAAGACCAATGTGTCTCCAGTTGTACAGAGGCAGCTACAAAAGTTCTGTAGAAAGACTGTTTCATCCAGGGCCAGCACTGTGGTGCAGTAGGTTAATCCTCTGTGTGGGGTGCCGGCATCCCATATGGACACCATTTCTAGTCCCGGCTGCTGTTCTTCGTATCCAGCTCTCTGCTGTGGCCTGGCAAAGCAGCAGAAGATGGCCCAGGTGCTTGGGCTCCTGCACCTGGGTGGGAGCCCAGGAAGAAGCACCTGACTACTGGCTTCAGATCAGCACAGCTCCATCCATTGTGTCCATTTTGAGAGTGAACCAATGGAAGGAAGACATTTCTCTCTGCCTCTCTCTCTCACTGTCTGTAATTCTACCTGTCAAATAAATAAATAAAATTTTTAAAATAAGAAAGAAAGTCTGTTTCATCCAAGATGGCAATGTGATGGAGCTGGGTGTTCAGGCCATTTGAGATGAAACCTGTATGGGTGACTGTCGATTGTAGCTCTGTCACTGTTTAGCTGTCTGTAAGATGAGTGCATTAACACTGCTACTGAAATGTCCCTGCATTTCCTGAGATATCTTTGTGAGGTGTGTGCAGGCTGACTTACACTATGTGGCAGTTGCATTTTTGGGGTTTCATGGTGTATCTTCTACTAAAATGTCTGTTTTCCTGCATTGTGTAGCCTGCCTTGCACTACTCTTTCCAGGTTACAGAACTTTATACAAGACGTAGTTTGCAAAAATGTGGAAGTTTGGATACTCTGTGATGATCCCATTTGCAGAGAGAGAGACAGACCTGGGAGACCAGGAGGAAGCACCTGGCTCCTGACTTCGGATCAGCGCAGTGCACTGGCCACAGCGGCCATTGGAGGGTGAACCAATGGCAAAAGAAGACCTTTCTCTCTGTCTCTGTCTCTCTCTCTCACTGTCCACCCTGCCTGTACAATTAAATAAATAAATAAATAAAGTTTATAAGTAGAATAATTATAGAAAAAGCAAAAACTGCTTCCTATTCTTTCTTGAATCTCCTCCCTTATTAAAAATATTTATGAGATTGATATAAAAAGAAGTTGTTGGAGTGAGAGAAAGCTAGAGAGCTCCCAAGCACTTATTCACTGCCTAAATAATCATATCAAGCAGGAATGGGGCACAACTGAAGCCAAGAGTCAGGAATGGAATCTAGGCCTCCCTCTTGGTTGTCACCACCATTGTTTCCCAGTTATGCATTAGCAGGGAGCTGGAAACTGGATCTGGCACTGAAATCTAACTTTGGAAATTTGATGCTGAGATGGGGTATCTGAGCTGGCTTCATAAACACTAAGATAAATGCCTAATGTCTCTTTTAAAATATTTTTTTCCTCTGCCATAATTGCATTGACTGTGCATGGTGTTTTCCTGGAAATTCTTCTCTGTTCAATCTCTTCATAGCTTCCCTGATGGTTTCTTGTCTTTTTCCCTGAATACTTCTACATTCTTCTGAACATTGCTCATTCCAGAGTGAATGTTGTCCCCCTTTCAACCTACTGTGCAATTGCCCTTGACATATTCTGGCCTTTGTGAACAGAAATTCCTGTTTCCCTCCAGCTTGGGCATTTTTCCCAGCCTTTATACCGTATGTTTGACCCCCTGTTGAATGCTTCTGTGTGGCTGTCCAAATGCTCAACAAATCTGAAATGAAATGGCATCCTTCCTTCTTCTGCATACGCATGCAGAAGTTGTACAACTGCCATTTTTTGTTATGTGACAGAGTTGACATGTTGACTGGGAGTGTTCTATCACAGATGATGATAGCATTTGAAGACCTGGCTGTGTACTTTACCTGGGAGGAATGGCAGAACATGAACCAAGCTCAGAAAATCCTGTACAGGGATGTGATGCTGGAGACCTACAGTAGCCTGTTCTCCTTGGGTGAGTGACACTCATCACATGCCCAGTGGTAATGTTTTCCCACTATTTGACAAATAAGTGAGCACTATTTATAAACTTTATAAATGAGGGACAGGAATAGAATGTCAGTCCATGAAGAATCTAATTATATACCATCTGAGAAGGAATTCAAATTGGAAAATTGGCTGCATAGCTCCTGGACCACTGTTCACCTTTAACTAACCCAAGATAGTGATTTCACAAAGTGTTACCTTATTTCCATTACTAGGGCACTGCATGACCAAACCTGACTTGATCTTGAAGTTGGAGCAAGGAGCAGAGCCCTGGATGGGGGAAGAATGCCTACATCATAGCCTTCCAGGTCAGTGTGTACATAATGGGAAGGGAGGCCAAAGTAGAATCATTACAGCAGATGTTGAGTGGTGCTCTTTCTATTAATTTTTTCCAAGTCTTCAGACACAGTTATTCTACAATATCTATGGAGATCAGTATCTCTGGTAAAGGCAAAGGAAATGAAGTTTTATATGTAAATCAGCAACTGATCAAAATCTCCAGAATTGCATATTATCACAGAGGAGTGTTTATGTAAAAAGTGAAAGGAGGTCACTAGGGATGACAATTTCACAATGAGATAGAAATAAATTTTCAAGAAATTGAGCAGATTCTGGTCTGCAGAAACAAATTCTTTAAATTGCTTGTGAATGTATACCGAAGGTGGTATATTGGGACTTTCTGTAACTGTTGTAGTTCTCAGAGGCTGAGGATATCAGGTTGCCTTAGAAATATCGGAAACTGTAATAGAGTGCAGATAAAACAGTTTTTCATTAGAAAAATCCCACAAATGCTGTTTCCCTGGGGAGATAGAACATGAGATGACCACAGATGCAAATCTTGTCCCTTAAATGTGATCCTGCTTGGAATACAGACACATTAAACTCTTCTCCACCTGCAATAAAATGATCCAGTAAAAGTTTCCCATATTGATGTTTGAAATATCCAAGTACAAAACAGACATTTTTATAAAAATGAACTGGAATGAATAGGACAAGGAAAAATTGATTTCTTGGCAATAGGTGATTATTTTTACCAAACATATGTCCTATCTTTAAAATCTTATATAGTTGTTTCACCTTTGTGAAAGGCAGAAAGTCAGTGAGAGGAGAAACAGTGAGAAAGAGATTTCCTATTAGCTACCTCCCCAGATACCTGCAGCAGTTAGGTCTGACTGATTTGAAGCCAAAAGCCTGGCATTCCAACTATTCTAATCTGATGTATCACAGGGTCCCAAGCACAAGAGCCATTATCTCCTGCCCCCTGGTATACATTAGTAGAGAGCTGTATTTGAAGCAGAGTATCCTGGGCTTAACTTGGCACTGTTTTTGGATGCAGACATTCCAAGTAGTGACTTGTATTCATTTTGTTAATTCTATCCCTCTTAAATACAAGTTACTTCATTCCTTTTACATGAGTATGCCAGGAGAAACAATTATATTTGATTTATTGACAGCACTGTTTTTTTTCTCACTTCAGTTGCCATGAAAAGGGATGACCTGATTAGGAAAATCCCGGAATGTCAGGACAAAAATCTGAATCAGAATGTTATGAAAAACAAAAAGACATCAACTCCCAAGATAATTGAATTAAGAAAAACTCTTCATTTAAGTTCAAACCATATTCCAAAACTGAGTATCAAAAAGAGAATCTATTCAGAAATGAAACCTGAAGAATACAATATATGTCACAATGTGCATCCCCACTGTGGGGCTGATCAACTACAAACTGAAGAAAAATTTGATGCTACTAAGGTACCTGGGAATGCTCTCCAGATCTGTGAGGCTCTTAATCAACAACACAAAATTCAGACTGTGCAACAGGCATTTGAACCAATTGGAAAAGGGAACGTCTTCAAAAGGAAAAATATATTTTGTAAATCTGAGAGGCATTTTATGGTAGAAAGTAATAAGTCAACTGCCACTATTGGCAAGACAACTCAAATGGAACAAGATTTCCATAAAAATTCTAACCTCAGTATGCATCAACAAAGTCCCAGAAGAGAGAAAGTTTATGAATATACTAGTTCTTTGGAACCTGTCATTGACCAATCACCTCTTAAAATAAATCATAGACCACATATAGGGAAGAAACCCTATGCATGTAAGCCTTGGGGAAAATCATTCAGTTATAAATTCTGCCGTGCAATTCATTACGGTACTCACATAGTGGAAAACTCTCATGTGTTTAATGAACATGGAGAAGCCACTTACCAGAAGTCACATCTCATAAATCATCAGAGAAATCACACAGGAGAGAAACCTTATGAATGTAATGACTGTGGAAAAACCTTTGGCCGGAAGTCATACCTCATAAATCACCAGAGAATTCACACAGGAGAGAAACCTTATGAATGCAATGACTGTGGTAAAGGCTTTGTCCGGAAGCCAAACCTCATAACTCATCAGAGAATTCACACAGGAGAGAAACCTTATGAATGCAATGACTGTGGTAAAGCCTTTGTCCGGAAGCCAAACCTCATAACTCATCAGAGAATTCACACAGGGGAGAAACCTTATGCATGCAGTGACTGTGGAAAAGCCTTTGGCCAGAAGTCACATTTCATAAATCATCAGAGAATTCACACAGGGGAGAAACCTTATGAATGCAGTGACTGTGGTAAAGCCTTTGGGAAGAAGTCACACCTCATAAATCACCAGAGAATTCACACAGGAGAGAAACCTTATGAATGCAGTGACTGTGGAAAAGCCTTTCGATATAAATCAACCCTCACAAATCATCAGAGAATTCACACAGGGGGGAAACCTTATGAATGTCATGACTGTGGAAAATCCTTTATGTGGAAGTCAGATCTCATCCTACATCAGAGAATTCACATAGGGGAAAAACCTTATGAATGCAGTGACTGTGGTAAAGCCTTTGGCCACATGCCAAACCTCATAACTCATCAGAAAATTCACACAGGGGAGAAACCTTATGAATGCAATGAGTGTGGCAAAGCCTTCATGTGGAAGACAGATCTCATACTACATCAGAGAATTCACAGAGGAAATAAATCTTATGAGTGCCATGACTGTGGAAAAGCATTTGGCCAGAAGTCACACCACATAAATCACCAGAGAATTCACACAGGAGAGAAACCTTATGAATGCAGTGACTGTGGCAAAACCTTTAGCCAGAAGTCAATCCTCACAAATCATCAGAGAATTCACACAGGGGAGAAACCGTATGAATGTAATGACTGTCGAAAAGCCTTTAGCCAGCAGTCAAACCTCATAAGTCATCAGAGAATTCACACAGGGGAGAAACCTTATGAATGTAGTGACTGTGGAAAAGCCTTTAGCCAGCAGTCACACCTCATAAGTCATCAGAGAATTCACACAGGGGAGAAACCTTATGAATGTAGTGACTGTGGAAAAGCCTTTAGCCAGCAGTCACACCTCATAAGTCATAAGAGAATTCACACGGGAGTAACCTTATGAATGTAATGACTGTGGAAAAGCCTTTATGTGGAAGACAGATCTCATACTACTTCGGAGAATTCACAGATGGAATAAACCTTATGAAAGTAATGACTGTGGTAAAGCCTTTGTCCGGAAGCCAAACCTCATAACTCATCAGAAAATTCACACAGGAGATAAACCTTATGCATGCAGAGTGTGGAAAAGCCTTTGGCTAGAAGGCCTACCTCATAAATCATCAGAGAATTCACATGGGGGGGAAAACCTTATGAATGCAATGACTGTGGAAAAGCCTTTCTGAAGAAGTCAGCTCTCATCCTATATCAGAGAAGTAACACAGGGGAGAAACCCTATGAATGCAATGACTGTGGGAAACCATTTGGTCACAAATCAAGCCTCATAAGTCATCAGAGAACTCATACAGTGTAGAAAGATTATGAATGTAATGACTGGAAAAGCCTTTCTGAGGAAGTCAGCTCTAGCACCCACATCAGAGAATTCACACAGGGGAAAAACCTGATGAATGTAAAGACTGGAAAAGTCTTTACCCATAAGTCAAACCTCAAAAGGCATCAGAAAAGTCACACAGGGGATAAACCTTCTGAATGCAATGACTTGGAAAAGCCTTTGGCCAAAAGTCAAGCCTTGTAAATAATTAGAGAAGCCATACAGGAGAAACCTTATGAATGTAATGACTGTGGAAAAGTTTTCTTTGCAAATTTCTATGCAATTCAGAACTCAGTGAACATCAAAGAAGTCACAGGAGAGAAACTTTATGATGGCAATGACTGTGCAGAAGCCTCTGTTAATATGACAAACATCACAAAGCATCAGAGAATTCACATGGGGAGAAATGTCATGGATAATGATGGTAGAAAGCCTTTTGTTATAATTTTCAACAAATAAAACATCACAGAATTAACACAGGGAATTTTCCACACAATTGCCTTTTTGTGCAAGTTCCTTTTCATTAAATAACAGAATCCATCAAGGGAGAACAATAAGATTATAATAAGTGTGGATATGCCTTTGGTGCCAATTATACATCATCAAGCATAACAGAATTCACTTGGGAAAAAATCTTATGAATGTAATGACTCAAAGTCTTTTAGCATAACTTAGCCCACATTGCACATCATCAAATTCATACAGGGAAAAAAAACCTTTGAAAGTATTCTTGTGGAAAAGCCTTTACTTAGAAGTCATACCCTATAAGAATCAGAGAATTCACATGGGGGAGAAATCTTATGAATGTAATGAGTGTTGGAAAGCTCTGCCAGAATCTCAGCTTACAACATCAGAATTCACAAAGCGGAGATCTTATGAATGAAATAAATGTGGGAAAGCTTTTTGTCATAGGTCATACCTCATAATCCATCATCTAACTTGAATGGGGAGAGACTTTGAGAATATAATAAGGGGTTGGCCCTGTGGCTCATTTGGTTAATCATCCCCCTGTGGCACTGGCATTTCATATGGGCACCAGGTTCTAGTACTGGTCACTCCTTCCAGTCCAGGTCTCTGCTGTGGCCCGGGAAGGCAGTGAAGGATGGCTCAAGTCCTTGGGCCCCTGCACCAGCATGGGAGACCAGGAGGAAGCACCTGGCTCCTGGCTTTGGATCAACATAGTTTTGGCTGTAGCAGCCATTTGGGGGAGAACCAATGTAAGAAAGATGTTTTTCTCTGTCACTCTCTCTAACTCTATCTGTCATAGAAAGAAAGAGTTAGAGAGGTAGAAAGGGAGGGAGGGAGAGAGAGAGAGAGAGAGAGAGAGAGAAAATGAATGAATATATTATTGAATGTGGAAGAGTTTCCCTTCAAATAATTTAAGTATTAGGACAAAATTTTCTGCTGGAAATCACATCTTATCCAACAGGGACTCATGTAACGGAGAAAGCTTATAAATATTAATAGTGTTAAAAAATTGTTTGTCACAAATTTAGCATACATCAGAGAATTCAGATGGGGGTTTCTTTTTTTAAACTTTTATTTAATAAATATACATTTCCAAAGTACAACTTTTGGATTATAGTGGCTTTTGCCCCACACAACCTCACTCCCACCTTCAACAATCGAACCTCCCACTCCCTCTCCCATCCCATTCACATCAAGATTTATTTTCAATTATCTTTATATACAGATAAATTTAGTATATACTAAGTAATATTTCAACAGTTTGCACCCACACAGAAACACAAAGTATAAAGTACTGTTTGAGTACTAGTTATGCCATTAATTCACGTAGTACAACACATTAAGGACAGAGATCTTACATGGGGAGTAAGTGCACAGTGACTCCTGTTGATTTAACAATTGACACTCATAAATAGATGTCAGTAATCAACCGAGGATCTTGTCATGAGCTACCATGGCTATGGAAGCCTCTTGAGTTCACCAACTCTGATCTTTTTTAGACAAGGCCATAGTCAAATTGTAGGTCCTCTCCTCCCTTCAGAGAAAGGTACCTCCTTCTTTGATGGCTCATACTTTCTGCTGGGATCTCACAGAGATCTTTCATTTAGGTCACTTTTTTTTTTTTGCCACAGTGTCTTGGCTTTCCATGCCTGAAATACTCTCATGGACTTTTTAACCAAATCTGAATGCCTTAAGAGCTGATTCTGAGGCCAGAGTGCTGTTTAGCAGGACATCTACCATTCTATGAGTCTGCTGTGTATCCTACTTCCCATGTTTTATGGTTCCCTCCTTTTTAATTCTATCAGTATTAGCAGACCCTATTGTTTATATGATGCCTTTGACTCTTAGATCTATCATTATGATCAATTATGAACTAAAAGTGATCATTTTGACTAGTGAGATGGCATTGGTACATGCCACCTTGATGGGATTGAATTTGAATCCCCTGGCATATTTCTAACTATACCATTAGGGGTTAGGCCAGTTGAGCATGTGCCAAACTGTACCTCTCCTCTCTTATTCCCACTCATAATTACCAGGGATCACTCTTCTGTTAAACTTAAACACCTAAGAATAATTGTGTGTTAAATAAGGAGTTCAACTAATGGTATCCAGTACAACAAAAAAATACCAAAAGTAATAAAGTAGTAAGATGTCCCTCGAAAGTCAGGACAAGTGGTGATCAAGTCATTGTTTCTCATAGTGTCCATTTCACTTCAACAGGTTTCCTTTTAGGTGCTCGGTTGTCACTGATAAGGGAGAACATATGATATTTGTCCCTTTGGGATTGGCTTATTTCACTCAGCATGATGTTTTCCAGATTCCTCCATTTTGTTGCAAATGACTGGATTTCACTGTTTTTGACTGTTGTATAGTATTCTATAGAGTACATGTCCCATAATTTCTTTATCCAGTCTACTGTTGATGGGCATTTGGGTTGGTTCCAGGTCTTAGCTATTGTGAATTAAGATGCAATAAATATTAAGGTGTAGATAGTTTTTTTGTTTGCCAATTTAATTTCTTTGGATAAGTTCCAAGGAGTGGGATGGCTGGTTTGAATGGTAGGGTTATATTCAGGTTTCTGAGGAATCTCCAGACTGACTTCCATAGTGGCTTGACCAGTTTGCATTCCCACCAACAGTGGGTTAGTGCCCCTCTTTCCCCACATCCTCACCAGCATCTGTTGTTGGTAGATTTCTGAATGTGAACCATTCTAACTGGTGTGAGGTGAAACCTCATTGTGGTTTGATTTGCATTTCCCTGATTGCTAGTGATCCTGAATAATTCTTGATGTGCCTGTTAGGCATTTGGATTTCCTCTTTTGAAAAATGTCTATTGAGGTCCTTGGCCCATCTCTTAATTGGGTTGTTTGTTTTGTTGTTGTGAAGTTTCTTGATCTCTTATTTTTTCTTCTTCTTCTTTTTTTTTTTTTTTTAGACAGGCAGAGTTAGATAGAGAAAGAGAAAGTTCTTCCTTCCATTGGTTCACCTCCCAAATTGTCACTATAGCTGGCGCACTGTGCCGATCCAAAACCAGGAGCCAGGTGCTTCCTCCTGGTCTCCCATGCTGGTGCAGGGCCCAAGGACTTGGGCCATCCTCCACTGCCTTCCCAGGCTACAGCAGAGAGCTGGACTGGAAGAGGAGCAACCGGGACTGGAACCCCGAGTGTTGGCAGCACAGGTGGAGGATTAGCCTAGTGAGCCATGGTGCCGGCCAATCTCTTTGTAGATTCTGGTTATTAAACATTTATTGGTTGCATAGTTTGCAAATATTTTTTTCCCATTCTATTGGTTCCTCTTCACTTTCCTACTTGACTCTTTTGCAATACAGAAACTTCTCAATTTGATGTAATCCCAATTGTTAATTTTGGCTTTGACTGACTGTGTCTTTGGGTTTTTTTTCCAAGAAGTTTTGCCTTTGCCCATATTTTGTAGCATTTCTCCAATCTTCCCTAATAATTTGATAGTGTTGGGTTGTAGATTTACATCTTTAATCCATGTTGACTGAATTTTTGTGTAAAGTATAAGGTAGGGATCTTGCTTCATGCTTCCACATGTGGCAATCCATTTTTCCCCGAACCATTTGTTGAATAGACTCTCCTTGCTCCAGGAATTAGTTTTAACTCCTTGATCAATTAAAAGTTGGTTGTAGATGTTTGGATTGATTTCTGGTGTTTCTATTCTGTTCCATTGGTCTATCCATTTGTTTCTGTACCAGTACCATGCTGTTTTGATTACAGTGCCCTGTAGTATATCCTGAAATCTGGTATTGTGATGCCTCCGGCTTTGTTTTTGTTGTACAAGATTGCTTTAGCTATTCGAGGTCTCCTGTGTCTCCATATGAATTTCAGCATCATTTTTTTACAGATCTGAGAAGAATTTCATTGATATTTTGATTGGAATTGCATTGAATCTGTAAATTGCTTTTGGGAGAATGGACATTTTGATGATATTGATTCTTCCAATCCATGAGCATGGAAGAATTTTCCATTTTTTGGTATCCTCTTCTATTTCTTTAAGGTTTTGTAATTCTCATCATAGAGATCTTTGACATCCTTGGTCAAGTTTATTCCCAGGTATTTGTTTTTGTAGCTATTGTGAATGGGATTGATCTTAGCAGTTCTTTCTCAGCTGTGGTATTGCCTGTGTACATAAATGCTGTTGATTTTTGTGCATGGATTTTATTACCTGCTACTTTGCCAAACTCTTCTATGAGTTCCATTAGTCTAGTAGAGTTCTTTGGATCCCCTAAATAAAGAATCATATCATCTGTAAAGAGGGATAGTTGACTTCTTCCTTCCCAATTTTTATCCCTTTAATTTCTTCTTGCCCAGTGGGTTTGGCTATAACTTCCAGTACTATATTGAATAGCAATGGTGAAAGTGGGCATCCCTGTCTAGTGTAATGAATGTGGAAGACATTTTCTGGGAATTCAGGCTTGTATGAATATAGAATTCACAAAAGGTCATATTTTTTGAATGCTGTAAGTATGAGCATTCCATTAGCCAGAAATTAGACATCAACAGACTTCAGAGAATTCATCAAGAGAAAAATCAATGTGATGAATGTGAAAAAAATCCTTCTGGTATAAGTCAGTCTTCTATTCACATGAAGAGGCTCAGAAGTGAGAAAACTTGCAAAGAAAGAAAAGTTTTGTGTGACCAGTCACCTCTAGATGGAAAACTGATAACTCACACAAAGGAATAAGCGTATGAATGTAATGGAATTGGGAGTACCTTTACTGTAAAGCAAATTTCCAGAAAACAAGATTACATTTACAGAAAAGTCTCTGAAACTTTGAAGTGTCTGTAGGAATTGTTTTTTTGGAATAATACCTCAGCAAGTGTGATGAATTGCCATGAAGACTGGTTAACCATTCTTGAGAGATTCTTTCTCTTATACTACCTTCATTTTTTAGTTTCCCATTATTATGAATGGAACCAGACAAATGAACTGTGTTTTCATGTATAAAGTTTGCTGACAAATATTCAACACTTGCAGCAGTTGATACAACAGTTATTTCAACAGTTTTTTTGAAATGCCATCTTAATGAATTATAAATTTATTTGTTGTACATTAGTTTTGATGTCTGTCCATGATTTTTGCCCAACATTATTGTAGTACAAACGAGTGATGTTGATATAGGGTAAGTTAGATAGTTTAAGTTCATGATCTGGAAGCCACACTTTACCCACTCCATGCTCCTATATCCATCTACCTGTCAATCAGATGACCCCTTCTGCAGGAAATATTTCTCCTTACCCAGAACATGGAGGTGGTACCCTGTGCTTTCTAATCACCTATAAATTTGGGTAAAGAGGAGGTGGGATCTTCTCCTGGAGCAACAGCCTGCAGGGCATGAAAGTCACCTTCATCTTCTCTGGCCCACTCTCCAAAGAAAGTCCTCATGTGCCTCTGTATTTTCTTCACTCAGAACTCAATTTCCACAATATTGCTAAGCTCTCACCTAAATATGTGTTTTTATCATGGAAACTATGAATATTATGTTTGAAAAATTTTACATATGTGCTTATGTTGAAGACTTTGAAATGAGTTAGCGTGGGTTTACCATGTAACCCTGGCTATAATCACAAGTGCCAATAAAGTCACTCATGTCACTCAGCTCCATCACTTCCTAATTCATGACCCTGGACTGCCTCTCTGAGCCTGTTGGATCTCCCCTCCTGCTCAGTGAGGCCTCAAATTAACTAGTTACACACTGCTGAGAAATGGAATCATCACAAAAATGTGGGGATAGCATGGACCATGGCTTTGTTCCTAGTCTGACCCATGAGATCTAGCCACTACCTCCACACCCACTGTCTGCATCACTCATGGAGAAGTAGGGTTCTTC